CCCCCACACCATAGTCTCTCTCTGCTTCCTCATGTATGAAAATGTAATGGTCTGTGCCCCAACTCTTACCACAGATGAAGTCACACCATGCCTCCCTGGCCAGGAACCTGTAGGCTAAAATAAATCCCGTCTTCCCCAAGCTGTGCTTTCCCAGCTCAACTCGGTCACCGTGATGAGAAAATTAACTAACGCAGATGTGATAGAAGTAAGTCCTGGAGTGTGTGGAAAAGACACGTGACCATCCTGCTACTCTGCATGGGTATGGGAGGGCAAGAGGAATTCAGGGCGGCCTGTGAGTGCACTCCAAGTGTGAAGACAGCTACTGTGCACGTCACACAGAAGATCACAATGAAGAGGTAAATGGACAGGACGATCTGTGAAAGCCTGCAGGTGGTGGCACATCACTTTATCCTCGTCGTCCTTCTCCTCCCCTCCCCTCCTCTACAAAACATGGTGATGGGCAGTTGGTCAAGAGAAGAATGGAAAGGCTTTCTGTAGGAAGGCCGAATTCTAACAGACATGCTCTGCCACCAATGGGAGCAGACTGGAGCAGACATGGAGGTATGGGGCCTGCCGACCTCTTCTGGGCACTTCCTGCTCATCCTAGCTTAGGGATAACCTCCGTGTTATCAGGGTGACTTTTAGGAAACACAACAAACCATAGTTTCAGCATGATTTAGCCTTGGCAAAATTCAAATGTGCCACGCTTTCTTCTCTGAAATGTGACCTTTTCCTCTCCTATTTGATGGAACAGGGGAAAATCCTAATGAGAGGATATGAAGGGAAGGGCCTTTTCCAAACTGCCAGTTCTATATAAAACGCAAATTTGTATCAGTGTTACTGTAAGGATGTATTCGTTTTCAGTACCAAATCTTGCTCTCGTTTTAAATACATTTTTATTAATTCTTTGAGAATTCCATACATGTATGATGTGGTATTTGAATGAGAATGGTCCTTACAGGCTCACATATTTGAATGCTAACTCCCCAGTTTGGCAGACTCTTGGAGACAGATTAGAAGGATTAGAAGGTGTGGCGTATTGGAGGAAGTCTGTCACTGGGGGTGGTCTTTGAGGTTTTCAAAAGCCCATGCCAGGCTCAGTATCTTTCTGCCTGCAGATCAGGATGGAGCTCTCAGCCCTGCCTCCTGCCATGCTTCCCACCATGATGGAAATGGACTCACCTCTGAAACTGCAATCAAGCCTCCAATTAAATGCTTTCTTGTATAAGAGTTGCCTTGGTCCTGGTGTCTCTTCACAGCAGTAGAACAGTAACTAACACACATTCCATGTGTTTTAATCATATTCACTTCCCTGTCGTCCCCCTAACTCCTCCCAGGCACACTCTTCATCCCCACCCACTCTCCCCTTTTCAGGTGCTGGGGACGGAACCCAGCACTCTGTACGCGCTGGGCAAGCGCTCTACACTGAGCTACATTCCATTAAACTCATCTTAAAATATAAACATTTACAAAATGACCGAGTAATTTTTAAATTTTATTGTCGTTATTGTGTACATGTGCCCAGGATGTGCCTGTGTGCATGATGCGTGTGTCTACTGTGACATGTGTGTGGTGATGAGAAGACTACTTTGTGGAGTTGCTTCTCTCTCTTTACCTTCAGGTGGGCTCTGGGGCTTGAACTCGGGTCACCAGGCCTGAATGGCAAGCACTTTTATCTGCTGAACCATCTTGCCAGCCCACCATGGAGTAAATTTTAAAAGAAGTAATATACATAAGTCCAATGAATGCCTTGGACTTCAAAATAATCAAGTCGCTCTCACTGTAACCAAGGGTTGCTTCAGGTCTTTCCATGACTTACATATGCTCTATCTCAAGACCCATTCTCAGGCTTTGACTCAAGTACCATGTTTCTCAAATAAGTACCCTGTACTTAGGAAGTCAGTTTTTGTTATTATTATAAACTTATCTGTTCCAGTTATTTACAGAAACACATTTCTACAGCCAGTCCTTGCCTTCTTAGAGGCTTTAACAACCTCCAATCAGCTCTTTGAGTCAAAAGACTCAAGATACTATTTCTTCTGCCTTTCACTCAAGTTCTGTGTTAGCAGTTAAAAACCCAACTTCCCGCCTTGAGGAGGCCAACTATTGTGTAGCCCAAACATTTGTTACATTCAGTGAACACAGCAAATGCTACAAATTGCCCTTCAGTACAGATTAGATAAATAAGTTTCCTCTCCGCTCAGAAAAGCGTGTTCAGCCAAGACACCCCAAGATGGTACAGATGGTGAGGTCAAAGCCGCAGAAGGAGCCCTGCCGCTAAGTCTGGAGGCCTCTGTAAGAACATTTGGAAGTAGCAGGAGGCCTGGGCTCCTGGCCCACAGATAAGAAAACCTCCCCCAGCCAACCTGGAGCCCTTCAAAAGCATGAAAGTCTCCCAACTTCCCTAGCGTTCTCCTTCTCCTATGTGCACAAATGAAACACATCCAACTGCCAAATGCTCTCATCCTACAAGACAAATGGACCAGAGAGCCATCCGAGGTTGGGGCCATTCTGGTTTCTGCTTTCCAAACTCACGGTTGGTCCTGAGGAAGGATGTCACTGCCATCGTGAGCACATGGCAGCTGTTCCTGTTTGGCTAGAGTTCAGTTTGAAGCCCACAAAGCTCTTGCTAGCTCTCTCTTTAAAATAAAAATTCCTTTGAAAAATTCCACAGTCACTGCACTTCTAGCCTAGTGTTTTTGTTATCACTTTTTTCTGCAAGAGAGGGAAAAATCATGCATTTCAAACAAACGTGTGAGCCCAACAGGTATCTTCAGGCTATTCTCACCAGAGAAGTAAAATGGAATATCCAGTTGGACAGACTGAAAAGCCAACGGCTAAGACGGGGCCCAAGACCCACTGAACGCCACATCAAAAGATGAATATCTAGCAAAGAGAGATTCTGTTTTCCCAAACAAGCCTTCTGCTGTAGAGTTATCAGATAAACGTGTATTTATGAGAGAAAAGACCAGGAAACTTCCTTGCTCTAAAATTCTGGTCCATTGTCACCATACCCCAATGGCTATATTTTACTCATCATTTAACTGTCCCAGCTAAGACACGACCTTAGTGTATATATTCAGCGCCATGATGTGTTCCCAGTGCCTGGCATCTATTGGTCCTTCTTCTAGTGTTTGGTCTCAAACCTGGGACAAATGGCTAACTGAGATGCCTTTAACATATCAAAGTGGATGCTGGCCATCAATTCTTCCACCATCCCTCAGTCCCTACCTGTCTCAGGGTCTTCCTTGGCTGGCATACCCTGCTTCTTACCCTGGACTCTCTGGCTTCCCTTCCCTGGCGCCTCTGGCCCCTGCATAACTCAGCCATTTTGGCTACACCAGTCTCTTGGTCCAGGCTGCCACTCTTGGTCTGTGCTCCTCTCGGGTCATCATGTGTGTCGTGCCTCCCCGGCCTCTCTCCTCACATGGTCTGGCTCAGTCTAGCCATGTTCACTCTGGACTTTTCCAGATGTGTCTGCTTCTGGCTACATTCTCCCTTTTATCTACAATAAACTTCAACCTCCACCATACCTAGGAAGAGTCACGTTCTCCTTTTGCTTCTTTTTTTCATTCATGGGGTGCTGAAACTGGGAGTGGCATAAATAAGTTCCCCTCCCAGGGACTCGACCTCTCTGAACCAGGCTGCTGACCTGTCTCTCCTAAGGTATGTAAGGATCCTTTGCTCGTTTCTGCTGGCTTTTGCCATCCACCAGATTTGACTCCAAATTCTAGAGTCCAGTACTTAAGTTGCTGCCTCTTTCCACCTGCTACTCCTCATCCACTCTATTAAGTGTGTCTCGCAGCTCTTAGAGCCTTCTACATCTCCCTCCTGGACACTGGTGTGCTTTCAAAGCTAAAACAATCCTTCCCCAGGGCTAGCTCCTGTTCCTTGCCATCCCCACACACAGATCCACATATCCAGAAGAAACCAAGGTCAGTCTGGAATCTCTGGAAGCTACTGGAAAGTCAATAGTCTTTCAAATTAGATTTGGTTTCTGAAGCCAAAGTAGACAGTGGGGGGCAGGCTGGAATCCCAGGACTCAGGAGGCAGAGGCTGGAAGACTGCAAGTTTGAGGCCAGCCTCAGCTACATGGCAACCTGCTTTGGAAAAAGGCCAAACCACAGTGTCTTTGGGTCTATTAAGTATGGGGTCTCCTCCCCTCGTTCATGCTTATCTTTGCCTTGGCTTTCTAATTGCTGCAGGCATGATCAGTGACTTAGGTTACTCCCTGTGTCATGTGAATCTCTGCTTCCTGCACGCTGTTCTCACTGACTGATAAGCTAAACAGATCCCCACCTGCTCAACACACTGATTGGTTTCCTTTCCGTTACTACAGACTTGAATTCAGGTCTTACTGCCTAGTCCTCTGTCCTTCCAAGCTCCAGCAGTTGCTGGGGAATATTTTCTTCATTGCCAGGCAGCACCATGAATATACTTTATTGCAGATACCCCCCCCCCCCCCATAAATCAGTCTAAACTCATTTTGGCAAAGCATAATAACACAGACATACAGAAAACAGTAATCTATCATTCCCTGTACCTAAATGGTAGTGGCTATATCTGCTTATTCAAAGTAAGCATGTATGTATACTATATATACAAATACATACCTTTCAGTCACCTGACTTGCAATTACTTGTAAGCATTTTTCTATAATTTTAATGTGTGCATTAATTTTAGCCACTCACACATCATCAAACCTGAGGACCAAACGATAACAGGAAACAGTTTATCCCAATAAATCAATTGGCTGGTCATCAAGGATGTTTACTAAGTACTGCTTACTGGCTTGCTTAGGGAAAGACCCCTATTTGAAAAAAATCGACTTAACAGCAAAACACCTTGCCAGCTAAATGCTACCCCTCAGAGCACCAGCTCTTCACGTTCAATAGCCCCTGACCTCCAGACCACCTTCCAAAGACACCTGAGGTCCTATGAGGAGAGAGGGTGAGAAGCAGGGAGTGGCCCCACCTTTGGGCTTCCCTGAGCCTTCCTACCTGTGCTGATGCTCCTGCAAGACTTGGTAAATGCTGATAAGAAAAGTTTGGTTTTTAAAACTCCCCACAACACAGTCCTTGTAGACGCGGAACTCTGCAGCCGTCACCGCCTCACCCTCAGGAATCTGGGATAGGTTGAACTTGAACTCTTTGTGGTGTCGCTGGCGTGGGGAGAACTCCTTGTCGTACTCCACTATAGGGTTAAACAAGAGAGAGTGACAACTGTTGTTACTCGACCTGGTGCCACGGGCTCATCTCACGAACGTTCCCCAGTTTTACTTCACAGATTACCAGTTACCAGCGGTGGAACAATGAGACCGAGGGGCTAAAGGGACACCGGATGAATTGCCTTGCAGGCTGAGACTGAACTTTTCCCTTCTGCCCGAGATGAAGCACAGTCTTTGCGCTGTGTTCAAGAATTGGCTGAATGGCTGAACAAATGATTTGCACGAGATCAAGTTATTTAAAGATGCTTGGCTTTGGGTTCGCTCATGAGCAAAAAAAAAAAAAAAAAAAAAAAAAAGAATATAACTGTGCAGAAAGGTGTGAGAATGGATGAAAGAGTGAAGAAGAACTTGCCCCCCACTACACCTTCCTAAGAGTTGTTGATCCCCTAAACAACGCATGTTAACAGTCACTGTAATTGGTTGCCCACCAGAACAAGACGGTGAGGACTCGTTGGTGAATATGCCACATGCTCTGGCTGCAGAACAGAGAATCAAGAGGGAACTGAGACAAAAGCTTCCTCCCTGCCTGTGAGGTCTCATAGTGCTGCAAGGTGCTATGGAGCCTGCCAGGGGTAAAGTCCTTTGTCGTCTAACTCAGCAGTGGACCTGACTGCTATACTACCTGCTATACCAAGGCAAGCTGTGCCCACTGGTGCCATGGTGGCATGGCTGTTAGGACAGTAGCCAATCACTTTCTGACTGCAACTGCAGCCCACTCCATAGGAGGAACTCACATCTGATCCTGTAAACCTGGCCAAAGACCCATGACTGGGGAGGTCAGAAGTCCTAGTGGGAAGCTACTGCTTTTTGTTTTTTCTTGTAAATACCCACGATGTGCCTGTCAAATTACCTTCTAAATGTTTATGTTTATTCCCATAGGTCAGTGCTGATGTCAGCTTTGGGAAGAGAAGCTTCATTTTGTAGTGGACCTACAGAGACTCATGTCTGCCCTGAGGTTGGTGAATAAGTGACCACTGAGGGTCCAATGTAAGTGGGACGTCTGGGTCTATCGCCACCTCCAAGACTCAGGGGCACTGAAGAGGAAAGGGCAGGATGTAAGAGCCCAAGGATGAGGTGGACTGTAACAGAACACTGTCCCTTGGACATGACACGTGGCTACACTTGGGAACTGACAGCACTGTGATAGCCTGCCTGTGACCCACAGGAGAGCTGGCCTAGTCACCCCGAGGAGCTACAGGCTGTTGACAGTGCTGGAGGAGGGGAAGACATCATCTTCTGCGGTGCAGCCATTGGGGAGGAGCCTATGCTCCCATAAATAACCTGTTGCTCATGTTCCTATGTAATCCAGAAACTCTAGTGACAGTTCACTGGGTGAAAAACACGTGAAGGTAGAGTGGGAGCAGCTGGGAAGAGGCAGGAGGGTAGTGGGAGCAGGAGGAAGACACAGAGACAGTGAGGGGTTAATATGATCAGAATACATGAAAGGTCACCATGAAATCCATCATTGTGTATAATTACTCTATACGGATGACTTCCTGACCCTTCTAGTCTTTCCCTCCCTGCTGCCTTTCCCTCCCTAGCTTTTTTCATGTGTCACCATCTGTAGGTGACATGAAAGGGGGCACCCCGAGCTAAACCTGGGAGCTGTGACATGAGTGGAGGGCAGGCAGTGCGTCTCCCCCATCTCGACATGACAGTAGTCTCCGTGTTTTGCTTGCGGTCCCGTGAAAATAGTTGTAGAACACTAGATTTGTTGTTTGACAACTCCATGCATGCACATAATACATTCTTCCTCTCACCACGCCCTCTCATCTCCCGTCCACCTATGACATCCAAGTCCCTTTTCTCCACTCACGTCTTTGTTTTTTGATTAACCACTGAGTTTAACCAGGGCCACCTGTTTGACCATGGGTTTGGAATTATCCCCTGGAGGCTGGTATCAGTGGATTTTTGTTGAGGACTCTAGGGTAAAGTCTCAGAAGATGATTTCCTCCTAATGGAAGCAATTGCTGAAGACTAAAGAGAGAAGCCCTATATGCCACAAAGCTGCTGGAGCCCTTTTTAATTTGACAGCAGATTCCAAGCAAGAGAAAAGGAATGCATGAAGAAAACAGTGTCACTTGCTATGAATGGCTTATATAAAATTAGAGAAATATGGAATACACACACACACACACACACACACACACACACACACACACACACACACTGTTACCTGGACCCAGTTTCCCTCCTGTGGATGAACATAAAAAGGAAATGAAGTATATAAACACTTAAATGACTTTTGGCCCTCTGTGGCACACAGATGGACCTGGAAGGCATGGCGTTAAGTGATATAAGCCAGGTACAGAACAGCAAAGACAGCTGATCTCACTCACATGTAGCATCTGTGAAAATCAAACTCCTAGAAGTAAAGAGTAGAACGGTGGCTGCCTGGGGTCGGAAGGAAGAGTGGAAAGGGATTTGGAGAAAGTCAATGCGAAGGAACAAAAGTTAAATTCTGTATGATGAACATGTTTAACAGACCTGATAGACAGCGCAGTGACTAACAGACTACATTGCCTTGATATGAGACCTGCCAAGCGTATGAGACGTGGAGGGGCTCGTCAGCCACAATGGACAGAGAGGAGATCTGTGGCACTCCATCAGCATAGGTCCTTTTATTTGTTAGTTATGTCTAAAAAAAAAAAATCAGAAAAGAAAATATCTGTCTTTTTTTTTTCTGCATGCAGGCAAAGGCAAAAGAAATTTGCAATTGCTAATTATTATTTTTTGGAGTCAGGTTTCAACTGTCTATATTCATTCCTGGGTAAGAGACATGGTAAAATTAAACCCCAGATGCTTAGTTCATAGTCATTTCAAAAGGACAGAGGCTCTACTTCCACCAAAGCATGGGTAGAGAGCCGTGGGAGATGAGGCATTGGAGATGAGGCAGGCTGGTTTGTTTCATTGGTTTTTTGAGGTAACCTTGCCACATAGCCCAGGCTAGTCTGGGATTTACAAGAATGTTTCTACCTTCTACCTTCTGAGTGCTGGGATTACAAGCACGCACCACAATGCTTTTGGTTCGTTTTACATACTTATTTTTATTTTTAATTAACATATATGTATGCACATGTATCAACAGGAAGGTATCTACACTTCAGTGAAGGGGCCTTCAGAGTCCAGCAGAGAACATTGGATCCTCTAGGGCTGAAGTTACAGGGTTTGTGAGCTGCCCAACATGGATGCTAGGAAACCAGCTCAGATCCTCTGGAAGAGCAGCAAGCACTCTTAAATGCTGACTGGTCTCACCAGCCTCAGTTTTCTTAATGACAGTCCTAAAGAAACTTCATCTCTTATGGGGCAGCCTTTGTAGGGGGTCATGGGGAAAATCCAAAAACCTAACTATTTGCCACCTCTGACTTCCTATTTCCTTCCACAGGTGTTGTTTTCTATCGTTGCCAGTGAAAAGCTTTGCAGATTTGGCAAAGCAACAAAACATAGCAACAAAAACAACAACAAAAACCAGCCTAATAACTCTCTGGAAGAATGTAAGTCCTCAATGGTATCCCCGGAAGCTAATGAAAGTTGGGTTACTTGTGGCTGCAAGGTTTCCGATAAAGATGTTCAAAACTACCATGTAGTTATGTGAGCAGTCTTCTAGATTTGAGGTATTTGTTTCCTTTTTCAGTTCAAAAACTGTTGGGGATTTTATTTTATTTTATTTTTTTATGTATGAATGTTTTGCCTGCATGCATGTATGTGCACTATGAGCATGCCTGGTGTCCTCAGAGAGCTTCCCTGGAATTATGGTACAGACACACATGAGAGCAAAACAACCAGACATTTAAAAATGATCTAGGGCTGGAGAGATGGCTCAGCGGTTGGGAGCATTGGCTGCTCTTCCAGAGGACCCAGGTTCAATTCCCAGCACCCACACGGCAGCTCACAACTGTCTGTAACTCCTGTTCTAGGGGACCTGATACCCTCACGCAGATATTTACATGCATATAAAACACCAATGTACATAAAATACAAATAAATAAATTATATTTCTAAAAAGTCTTCTAAAATAAATAAATAAAATAAAAATAATCTAAAAATATTTAATTAAATAAATCTATTGGTGGAAAGATTTGAAAACGACATTGAACTTCTCTCAGAGACTTCAAGGAGTTACAGAAGATTGTCAGCCACCATGTGAATGCCAGAAACTGAACCTGGATCCTCTGCAAGAGCAGCAGGTGGCCTTAACAGCTCCATGCCTCCTTTTTCAGTTTCTTTAGGAAAAAACTTGGCTTCTGTAAGAGTCAAATGAGGTCTGAGCAGAAAGCAGATGATGGTGTGTCCCCAGCACGATGGCAGGTTTGCCAGTCAGTGACTGAGAATAAAAAGCAAGATTGTTGAAGGGTTCACCCAAGGACGGCCACACAGAAGGTGGATCACCTTTCCCTAAAACTGATCCGCCTTGTAAATTTGATATGTTATCGTTGTCGGCTAAAAAGGAATTAAATCTGATTTCTCAAAGAGATTTTCCTTTAAAAAAAAAGTCACAATCCTTTCTATAGGACCTTTTGGATACTTAATTTTAATATACCTAATGAAAATCGGTTTCTTAAAGATTCCTTAGAAAGCATGCATAAGAATTCTCCAAAGAATTCCTTCCACCTCTTACTATGAGTAGAAAAAAATTATGTATATAATATAAAATACATGAATGAACGTAAGATACTTCAGTTGCAAGAAATAAAAGGACAGACACAATTTTCAATAAATGGAAAATGTGGCAATCAGTTCTTATAGGGACCATCATTCCTAACAAGCCACCCCCAGCTAAATCTGTAACCTGCTTTTAACTGTGGACTCTGGCACTTGTGAACATGAAGCAATTCCTGTGCTTCTGTAGTCTCTGAGCTTAATGCCTGCTGGGGGAAAGACAGTTACTGTGTAAGAGGTCTCACATCCTGAAACCTCCCTGTTATGAAGAAGCCCAGACCATGGCAGATGTACATGGAGGTGTGGG